ATGCTGGGGGTTTTCTTCAAGAAACCTCACCAGGTTTGTGTCTGAGCCAAGACCCTGCCCTGCTCTGGCATCACAGAACTTGAGCAGGCCTGTGCAGAACCACAGCAGTGAGGGGCTGGGGAGACCGTAACAGCACCAATGCAGTATCAACACAGGCATGACCATATTCAATGCCTAAAATACTTAATACTTAAAAGAGTAGTGCCAACAATTCATAAAAATTAATTGGCTCCCGCAGGAAATCATTTTATGGTGAAAATAGCTACCATTTATGGAAGATGAGAATTACATGTGCATAACAATATTAATCTGACATAAATTACATGGTAGGAAGTGTTTTGATTGGAGTTGAAATTTTATGAAAGCAGCTAGTAAGAATGTTGGCTGGTGGAAAAAAATGCATTGGAAAACCCTGTTCTTAATCCCCACAGAAGATAAAAATAGCCTCTGCAATCCTCAGTACTACCATGGCCGGCTGCAATTGCTCAACTGTAAAACTGAAGGGCTGGGGGATTTTTTTTGTAAAGCAAATATACAGTCATCAAGTCTTTGATTAATAATTTCTACTAATGAAGGGTGATTACTGCAGTGTTTGTAGAAAACACAAAGAGACAGCCAAGACCACTATAAAGTAATTTACTTGATCCAAACACCTTCATTTTTTTTTTCAGAGGGTCATTTATTAAGCCACCATGATTCTATACTTTTATAGAAAGACCTTCAAGATAACACAAACAAATCAGGTTAATAAACAAGAATTATCTTAGAAAATAAGGGTAGCCTGTGGAAGATTTAGATTCTAATCCTAATTTTTTTTTTTTAACTCTGATTTGTGTCAGCCTGCAAAAGGTTCTACCTTTTATTTTACGTGGGAAATGTAATAAGAATTATAAAAATCTTACCTGATCCTTTCAGTCTGCCCAGCACCATTACTTACTGCTCCAGAGCAGCACGTCAAGTTCATAGACCACAGCACTTCTGTGAATACCTCTGCTTTGCACAGGTAACCTATAGAGATCCTTCAAGGCTGCACGGAAATACCAACACCGGCTTTCAAGCTCTAAGATAAGGTAATTTTATTGTTAGGCACATGATTCAAGTGCGTCTTCCTTTGGCATATACATGTAAAGTTGTATTGAAGGAAAGAAAAAAATTATTATTGTAGTCTACAGAGTTGAGAGAGACATCAACTTGAACGAGGCATTAAAAAAAACACAACCAAAAAAACAGGAAAGAAGTTGCCCACACAGTAACAAGACTGCTAGAAGAAATTTCTCGTTTTAGTTCACAGCTGCTTGCTCAGTCCTGTGTTACATCAGTTGACACTCACACTCTGGAGCACCAAATTACTGTGGCTCTTTGGGGAAAACAAGCAAACAAAAAAATATCTCAAAACAAACACACAAAAATACCCAACTCTGCTCCCAGAAGTTTCCAGTATTACACCAACAGCTTTAAGGTATCAGTAATTTAAGTTTTACTATTTCCTTAGAACTTCACCTTCCCAATTATTTGCAGATTATCACCTACAGGTGAGGCCCTTTTGCAAGACACCAGAGCTTTTCTTCTGACTATCTAACACTTGTCTGCTGTGTGGGGACTATTTCAATGCCTCCTTTCTACAGTCTTTATGGAAATAATGTAAAAAAAAAAAATCCCAAACACAACAATCCAGCAAATCCTTCTCTAACAGAAAAACTTTGCTATCTGGTTAGGCTCGAACGTTAAACAATTAATAAATACCTGTGTGTCACCCAGCCTTACTTGTCTTTGGGTGACAGGCATTCTCTATCACCATCATCCCTAGCAGCTGCGTTGCTCCAGGCACCCCTTTAAAAACCCCACAAGGCCCTTTTCCCAACCTTTGGTGAGCGCAGTGGGAGCAGCTTGGCCTTGGTGACCCTCCCTGTGGGAGATAATCTGTAACCTTTACTTTGTTGTGGCACCAGCTAAGTAGTCTGAAGCCTTTCTTTGCAGGCAGTAACTTGGAGGAAGAGCTATGAGAACTTTTAATTCATAAAGGGGAAAGGCCTTCTCAACACACATTTTGTCATGCTAGGGCTGTCTTGATAGCTTTAGTAAAGAAATCTGATTTCTAGTGTTCCTTGTCAGCTGCATATTTTATAAACTGGAAAACGTGTCATTTTGGAGGACTGGTTATTATTTATGACAGGAAGACAGCTTCATTGTAGTCACCAAAGTAGAATGCATTTCATATTACAGATAACATACCCATTTCAACCAAGACTGAAATAATAATGTTTTTTTGAAAAATCATGTCCATTTATCATCACCCTTTTGTGACAAGGTGACCTGCTTGGTGGACGAGGGGAAGGCTGTGGACGTTGTCTACCTGGACTTTAGTGAGGCCTTTGACACCGTCTCCCACAGCATCCTCCTGGAGAAGCTGCTGGGCATGGCTTGGACGGGCACACGCTTTGCTGGGTCAAAAACTGGCTGGATGGGAGCACAGAGAGTTGTGGTGAATGGAGCTAAATCCAGTTGTGACCAGTCACAAGTGGTGTTCCCCAGGGCTCAGTACTGGGGCTGCTTCTGTTTAATAACTTTATCAATGACATGGATTCTGGTTAAAATCAAATTATAGAAGAAACCAAATGTCTTTCTCTAAACATTAAGGCTAAACTACCACATTATCAAGTCCACTGCTGATGTAAACACACAGTAAGTCCCAAATTATGAGTAGTGAATGAAAAAAATTTACCTTCTGGGTGAGATTTTAGTGAACAATTGCCACACAAATATTGCCCCACTGGTTTTGAGAAACCAGGAGAGAAAGTGTCAGCTACTGACAGTCCTGGGGTTGAATTTCTCACTGAGGACAGGTCAGTTATGGAAAACAATAGCAATAACCAACTCTTGTAACTGTAATTTAAATGCAGTCTCCAATATTATAGTATTGTAACCACTCTGCAGTGGCCTTTCTGCCATTTCTGAGGCCTTTGCAACAAAGGTAGGAGATGTTTTCAGTGTTCAAGGCACTCAGTTGAGGAAATACTGCATGTTTCACACACAGATAGACTTGAAAAGAAAAAAATAAAGTATTTCATTTCATAATCAGCAACCTCAGAAAACATTTATACTAATCATGGACTACAATACTCTGCTGATGAAAATCATAGATTAAAAATAACTTTCAAACAGGCACCTCTACTCCAAATCTTATTTATTTAGTGCATCTGGATAAATGTCCTGTAAAGGTATGATCACAGCCACTGGATATCTACTGTTGGAGTGAGCCACTACACCTCAGATTATTCAGTGACATCAATATTAACTAGGACTTTTCAAGGATTCAGTGTGGTAAGATAACTCCCAAGTCACGTATTTATAGAATTTATTTCATGCTAGTAAAAAAGAAATCATGGCGTTCCTGCTTGGGTGATAAAAGCAAACAGATAACATCAGTATGAACTTCTCAGCTTCCCTAGTCCCATTCCCTGCCCACCCGGCATAGTCATGCATATGGAGCACCTGGAAAATGAAACAGCTCCTACCCTTTCAGAAGGAGGAAAGGAATGTAAATTCTTGCCTGCTTTTCTACAATGAAACTCTATGGCTTGTCCAGAAACTCTTTTCTCTCAGCGATAACTTACCTTGACACTGGGAATTGGCCGAGTCACATTTTATTCAGTCTGGAATAAAAATTCTCTCTCTCTTGAGTCTCAAAAATTACTAGTTAGGTGGCTTTAATGGGACCACTGGTGACTACTTCAAACAAATGGACACATGTCTTGTATAAAACTGGCAGGAAGATGGCATTGTTGAAAATACACCTATATTCCTATGTGTAAAATACTTCAGGAGAGTGCATTGCGAATAAGTTATTCAAACAGCAACAAAACAAAAGTTAAATATTTCTATTTTTAATTTCCTGGAAATGAACTGATATGGGACGCACTGGAAGGAACTCTACAAGAAGGAAACTACTTACATAGTGAGAAGCATGTATTTAATTAAATGCTTTGCAAAGATACATGAATAAAGCTATGTGCATGACTTTCTTTAGGGATGGCCCAAGCTGTTTATTTTTTTTAAAGGAACAAACAAAAAATATGGAGAGCACAGATGCAATAAAGAAACAAAAAAAGAACCCCTAAGTTAAAGTTTGTACCCACATACTCTACAAAATAAAGCATGTTAGTGGTACAAAACATTATATATACTGTATGGCCAACAATAAATGCACTGTAACACTGCTCTCTCAAACACCATAAGCCTAACAGCTAACACTGACAGTGGGCAGCTTTATTTCATCAGCCTTCTACAGACTCATTTAGCACCATCACTTTTTTGTTGGTTTTTGCCCTGCCTATCTCCTTCCTTGAAATAACAATAGAAGCGTAGCACCTTTTAATATCAAAAATAAAAATAGGAATATTAAATGCATCCCAACTTCCAGAGATGAGGTAGCTCATGCTAAGAAATGATGGAACTTTCTTGCCTTGACAACTCAAGTCCAGTAAGTCAAGTTACTGGTGATGCATGTCTGGATGTCAGCTAAAAACCATGATTTTCTAAACTTTTTCTTTATTAGCAGTTGGTCTGGTATACATATGAAGGGTCTGCAACATACATAAATTGGTACCATATATAAGACATCAGTATAATTTGAAATGTAATGGCTTCTTAGATGGGCAAGTATTGGAAAATCAACAAGTACTGGGGTTAAGATGTACTCTGAAGATCAAGGATCATTTAATAGAATTACACAGATAGACTGTGAGAAGTGAAGTGTGGCCTTAAAATTTAAGATAGGGGTCACCCCTACTGAAAACTCGTATTTACCCAATTTGTATTTTTACTTCATAAAGTAATAATGGCTATGGAATACTCTTCTGAGCAGACTATTACATAGGAAAGTGCAGGAAAGACAATGCGAAATTAGTATGATCTTGTCTGAAGGTATTTTCTTCTGCAAAAGACACAGACTTCTGTTAATTGCTATCGTACTGGCAACCACAGGAAGACAAACTGGGGTTGAGGGAGGAGGTATGACTGAAATATAGCCAATGGTTCACAAAAGTGCTCTACTTTTCTGTTATTCAGTATGCATCCAAGCAAAAGGAATAATCCTTAGAGCTTTACATAGTCCCACATTAAAACTATTTTGAATACCTGTAAATTTTGAAATACTTTGAAACAAAAGCAAGGAAGAAGATTCATATTACTTTTAAAAGGTGGTCATCAATCCTCTTAAAATCGTACTGTTGTACTAAAAAGCTGGTTTCAATTATTTAAAAAGGAAGGTGTGTAAGTAAAATAAATATTCAAAAGAAGGCCGGTCATGTAAAAAGAACCGTATATACAATGCTGATCCAATATCAGCCATTACTTCAAGAGTCTCAGGATTAATTTCAATCAGTCTAAGTTCATGTGTTTAATTGCTGCTGTTGCTGGGTAGTGTGGTAATTTCCCTCCTTCCTCTTACACAAAGCAAACTGGCCCAATTTCAACTCCAAATTCCTGGTCAGTGCTGCCAATGTCCACTGGTGCAATATCTATGACAGGTAAACGTGCCACATTCTGTGTTCTGTACTCAAAGATGGTCTTGCCCACGTTTCCATTGCGTTTCTGGAGGAAAAAAAAAATAAAAATAAAAACAACCAAACAAGCAAAAAACAAAAGCCAACAAAAAAATCAAACCAAAACAAAAAAAACAACAAATGAAACCAAAACCCCCACAAACAAACAAACCAACACAAGAAAACAAAACCTCAGGCCAGAGCTGATGTCAGAAACAGCCTGAATTCCAGCTGGTGAGGCAGTTGTCTGGTAGTTCAGAAGGATCTCACTGTATTTTCACTGAGCAACACACCTCCACCTGTACTGCACCTTGGTTATTTTAAAATGTGTGGTGTTCCCCAGGGCTCAGTATTTGGGGCCACTTCTGTTTAACATCTTTATCAATGACATGGACCAGGGAATCAAGTGCACCCTCAGGTAAGTTTGCAGACAACGCTAAGTTAGGTGGGAGTGTTGATCTGCCTGAGGGTAGAGAGGCTCTACAGAGGGATCTGGATAAGCTGAATCAATTGCATGAGGTTCAACAAGGCCAAGTGCTGGGTCCTGCACTTGGGTCACAACAACCCCATGCAGTGCTACAGGTTTTGGGAGGAGTGGCTGGAGAGCAGCCTGGAGGAGAAGGACCTGGGGGTGTTGATGGACAACTGGCTGAACATGAGCCAGCAGTGTGCCCAGGTGGCCAAGAAGGCCAACAGCATCCTGGCCTGCATCAGGAATAGTGTGGCCAGCAGGAGCAGGGAAGTGATCCTTCCCCTGTACTCAGCACTAGGGAGGCCACACCTCAAATACTGTGTTCAGTTTTGGGCCCCTCACTACAAGAGGGACATTGAGGTGCTGGAGAGTGTCCAGAGAAGGGCAATGGAGCTGGTGAAGGGTTTAGAGCACAAGACTTATGGAGAGGTGCTCAGGGAGCTGGGGTTGTTTAATCTGGAGAAGAGGAGACTGAGGGGAGACCTTATCACACTCTACAACCACCTGAAAGGAGGCTGTAGCGAGGTGGGGGACAGTCCCTCCTCTCTGGTAGCCAGTGACTGGATAAGGGGTAATGGCCACAAGTTGCGACAGGGGAAGTTTAGGTTGGATGTTAGGAGGATTTTTTTACTGTAAGAGTTGTCAAGCACTGGAACAGGCTGCCCAGGGAGGTTGCTGAGTCACCATCCCTGAAGGTGTTTAAAAGACAAGGAGATGTCTTGCTTAGGGATATGATCCAGTGGCAGACTTTGGGCTGGATCAATGGTTGGACTTGAAGAACTTAAAGATATTTTCCAACTGAAATCATTCTATGATTCTATGATTAAAAAAGTCTTTTTTCTCCATATCAAATGACAAAAAAACCCAAACTCACCGAACAGCTGTCATGCAGAACAGTGTATCTGAATCGGCTGTTTCCCTCTGCTTTGATCTCCAGGTCGTTGGCCCCTTTCAGAATTACAGCTTTTTTCAGATTCTTAGTCTGGTCATCCATGTACCCAACACTGTTTTTACAAAGGTAGGTGATATTCTGGGAAGCTTCCTTTGACAGGAGGCGCAGAAATGTCATCTGAGTGACAGCTGTATCCCCATACACAAACTGTGAAGATAAACAGATTAACATACATCACATGAAAAGTCATTAAGAGTTCACGAGTTCCAGAAACATCTGTCATCATAACCCTTTCCAGTCACGACTAGCAGGAGCCCTCGTGCACAAAATCTAACAATGGTTTCTTTTGTAATTTGCTGCCAGTTGAGGCTGAGGAAACATAGACATCTTATAACAGGGGTAATTTTGGAGAATTCTGACCATAAAGCTCTGCAGGTGAACAACTGCAAGGCAGTCGGGTCTCCACAGACATGCCAAGTTTTGGAATGAATTTTGCCTTATTTCAAAAAAGGATTCACTAGGAGCTAAACCTCATATATGAAATAGTGCATTAGAGCAACCTCAAACTAGGTAAGGAATGTCAAGCACAGAAAAGCCTTTAATAGTGTGGCTGCTCTATTGTAACTTGAGCCATTTGTTGTCTGTAGGCTTTGTGTGATGGTTAGAAGCATCACAAACAGTCAAAGTTTGACTATATAAAAAAAAATTACATTTGCATATGGACTTCATCAACTAATTAACTCACATAGAAGTTTGAAAAATATTGTATGGTGTGCCACTCTTTCTGTAAAAAAACAGAAGTAAGTTTTCTAACAGTAACAGACAGGTTTCATTTTATCCATGTTTTGTGAACCATTGCCAAAAAAAACCAAAACGTAAGTCACAAATGACTAGAAATGTAAAAATTTCTCTGAAACTGGTGAAGAAAAAAAGAAAATCTTATACACTGACACCATTTTTTACAAAATGTCTCTGTTTAGCAATCTCAGACATATTATTTACAATCTATAAGGAATGCATGTGACTGTTACACAGATCATACTGTTAGTTATGAAATCTGACTGTTTTTAAGACTGAAATATTCTTTTACAGTATTGCTGAAGATAATTTCTTCCTCCAAAAAGCATCTGTCTTACAAAAGCCCTACATGTAGCTCTGTGGACAGCTAAAGGTCAACTGTGACATCTTGGGTCATGGCAAGTTCTCCTGGATTTAATAATAAGCGAAATAATCTCAAAACAACAATCAATATCACATCTGTTCTCAATTGTTGACATTCTGAACTGTCATCAGGAATCCAAATGATAACAGTACTATTATTTTGACAATACCACATACTTATTTTAAAGGTATTTAATTATTCACTATGAAATAAGAATTGAAAATATTTTCTGTGCCTTTGATTTGATGGACTAGGAATAAAAATGACAAAAGCTTGTTAATTAATTACATACTTTGCATAGCATAAACTTCTGTTATTTGGCAGGATCATTAAGCCTACTCTTAGAATTTAACACAGAGGGAAAACCTGACAGAAAGCTGAGCGCTGAGTTTGTGTCTGCCTGGAGAGTGACGCATTCAGCATGGAGCATTCTGACACATACGATAACAGTCAGACTTTTTTAAAAAACAGGTTAGCTGAGGGAATTTATAAAGCAAGTTTTGTAATTTTTAGAAAAAAAAAATTGAGTTAAAACAAAACCGCAGTGATTTAAAATACATATTAGGGTAAAAGTACTCTTCTTAGGGACAAAGAGAGTGATTTACTGAAGTAGACTGCTAGAGAAGTTGAAGTTTTTGGGATCAAGAGAAATAAATCTCTTCCAGTAGTGGTACACTTATAGAAAATCCTGCCTTAGGATGTACTTGCATTGTTTCTCCCAGCTCTTTCCTACAATTACTGTATGACAACAACCAACTGAATATAGGGCTGTCAATCAATAGTTATAACGTTCTGACTGTAGCAGAACCTGCTCAGGATAGCAGGTGAAGTTCTAAACCAGAACGAAACAAGTTTCATAGAAGTCAACTCTTGACATTCAATATATTTAGTTACCTGTGATCCCCTGTTCATATCAAGGCCATACCAAACAGGCTTTACATCAGATGACCTGCTGGCCCACCACGTTTTACGTGGTATAGTAGATGGGTTTGCAGAAATACAGGTCTCTCCAGTTTCCATGTTGCAATATACTTTTATAGCATCTTCAACACATCCCTGGTTAGGATCAATCCAATATTCACCTGCAAAGAACATAGCATGATTCACATAATCCGATGCATGCTTTAATGTGTGTGTCAGGTATATACTATAATGCTACTTCAAGATAAAGCCTAATCAGTACTTCAAAATTGGGGAATGCAGACTTGAAAGCTGTTTAAGGTTAAGGTTGTTTAAATCCATTGCAAAGCTGCTGGACACTTCAAGTGCATAAAGAACATAAAATAACTAGAAGATAATTCCCCATACATGTGAGAAACTGATGGCACCCCTTCCTAATGTTGATGTTGGAGGCAGAGTTTAGGAAATGGGGCAAAAGCTGGTAAGGCCTGCCACAAACTTTCTCTACTTTCCGATCTGTTTTATTTTAATCACTCATAATCCATATAAATTATGGTAAGTCCTAAATGGCACGTTAGCTCTTTGCCACTATGCAATTGCCACTATGGAGAAGCAGCAGAGAATTCTGGATGGAAAGCACTTGCAGGTTATCAGCCCACAGGTCATGTTTTGAGCTAATAGCAGTTAGCTAATAATAACACAGCATCACACAGCACATAGAGGAGTTGGGGTCTTTATACGCACCACTCTTCTTGGATGGGTGGCACAGCTTCAGGTCATCGCAAGTCCGTGCTGGGTGTTTCTTTGAACCATCTGGGCTGCGCATAGTCTCAATCTGGCTGCTCAGTGACTTCAGCGTGGCATGGACCCCTGGGTCTGTTTTATTATGGCCATCTGGGGCTGCTTCATCTTCAGTAAACTCCGGTAGCGGATCTGCCATGGCATCATCATAGTGTCCCATGATGTCACCAATGGCAGCAGTGAGGTGCCCTGGAGGGCCAGGAGGGCCTGGAGGTCCAGGATCACCTGGTGGACCCTAAGGTTTAAAGAAAAAAAAAGGAACAGAGGCACAGTAGAGTAAATATTATGTAAAAATGATAGTAAATCCAGCCACTTAAAAAGCAAAACTTCACATCCAGTCCCCCTAATGCACAGGGAAAATTCAGACATAGATAAACAGTTCACATTTCCAGGAACAGGTGTAAGAGATTAGAACTGCATGTGAGGTATTCTCTCTGCTTCAAGCCTTCTCTGTCTTAATACCTTGGACAACTTTTTCTTACTCCTGATTTCAGACTTAACTGCTTGAAAAATTCACCAAGGAATGGCCTCCTTATTCCATCTTTTTAAGCCTTCTGCCACTCCTTGTTCAAATCCTTGCCTAATAACTTTATTTCTTAATATTCCCAACAGCTGTAAGTGATTTTTAGAGCAATCTAAAATTCCTGCTTCCCTTGAGTCACCTCAGGCACATTTCCAATTATTACAGCCTGGATGGAAAATTTGGCACTAGAAGTACCTCTACATTTTTCCTGCACAGTGCTGAGTGTTTTGGCCACAGGTATGTGAGACAGAATCTACATCATCCTTACTTGAGCAGGTATTTTTCTTGACTAAGTATGTTTTCCTGAGTGACAGGTTGTGAGGTCCTTCTGTCAGCCTGAATTGTGATACCTGGGGAGGGAACTCAGTCTTGAGACAGAATGTATCTGTTCACAAAGGTATCTCCACCTGCAGGCTCTGCCAGCTCTTCTTTGGCAGCAGAAAGTCTGTTATGTACCTTCATTGCTAGTTGGATGCTCTGGTGCATCAGATGGTAAACCAGAATGTGGCATATCCTTTGAAAACAATTACTTCAGAATTCACAACTGGTGCTCCAAGTGTTTACTGCAGAGCACACACCCAAACTAATACATGCCGAGTCTGACAAATGAAATCTTAACTTCCATTTCTCACTTTGTGGTTCCAATTTATAGTTGCATGCAAGCCACCAGGGAAAGCAAAACTAAAGTTACTGGTATGTGGTACTGTACTGCCTCATTACACAAATGAAGAACCTGGATACACATTATATTCTTACAATCTACTATTGATGATTCATTCAAGTCTTCGTGCCTTGGCAGAAGTGTAGATACTGATAATTGGCAGAAATTTAAATGAAATAGGGTGAATACTAGCACATGATAATCACAGGAAACACCATGTCTTACAAGAGAGAACAGAAACTGCCTTCTCTGTCTTGCTCATTATCTTATTCCACCTTTACTCCACCTTTTCCAGTTCTTCCCCAAAATAAGCAATACCAGTCTTTTAATACTTCATGTGATCAACCACAGCACCTTCTCCCCAAATCCCTCTAATTTTCTAAATTGTCTTCCTTGGGATAGCATAACTTATGTTTTATGTCTTAGGGTAATACATTTACAAACTGGTAAATGTGGAATATGCCTGGGGCGTTTAGCAAAGGTTTAGGACTTTTTCCACAGTGGTCAAACTATTTTTTGCTAGTTGCAAATCAGCTGCCTGTTGATGTCTGTAAACCTTAGATCAGGCTGAAGGTCAGCTGAGCTGAGTGTCAGAGCTTGGGCTGTCCATTTGGACTAAAGAATTTCCTTAATACAAGGCATGATGGAGTACGCTCCTGGCAATCAGTCACATGGCTGTTTTAACTGAGTGATGCCTTTGTGCGACTACTGGCTTTGAACCCAACTTGCCAAACAGCCACACTGAACCACAGATCCAGCAGGATCCAGTCAGCTGACTCCAGAAGTAGCCCCAGGTTGGCCTAAGGAGAGCATAGGTGGGTAAGACTGGGATTGTCACAGATCTGGAAAATGAAAATGAGTTAATTGATGAGCCCTTTCAGTACACAGTTACCCTGGCTATTTGTTGGAGAAATGGTTTCAAATCTTACCATCTGTCTTGAGCTAATAGATGTTGAGAAAGTGATGCAATGGACTGTAAAAAAATCTAATTATTTGAAGGTATCCTTTTCCTCTCTGTATTCCCATCACTTTACCTCAGGTCCGGCTTCTCCTACACTTCCCCTAACTCCAGGGGGCCCAATTGGCCCAAGGGGACCAGGACTTCCATCTTTGCCAGAAGGGCCGACTGGACCTGGAGGACCCTAGAAAATGTAAGAGAAAGAAGGAATGTATTTTAATATTTATAAGAAAGTTATGCAGCCCTTTACAAGCACTACTTTTTCAGGAAGCCATCGCATTATTTGTGTCTATTACCAAACTTTTAAAAGTCACCCTTTTTCTTATTCTCTTAAAGTAAGAATGCAGTTTCAATGTAGTTCTCGTGAAGTCAATCACCTCAGCCAATATACCTTGGATCAGCTGTATATATTTTCCTAAACCATTTAAGTGGGTTCAACTCCAGGTGCAGGCTGCTGAATGCCCCTATGCATACAGACCCAGATATACTGTCACCTGGCACCGTCCACAGGAGTCACGTTTCTCCTCACTTCTGGGTGAATGACATACATGGGGGTGTGAAAGACAGAGTAGCAATTAGCAGAGCTGTCACATACGTGGGTTTGCATCACCTCCAGCAAAAGCATTTGTAAAAAGAGGCTGTAGCCCTGTAGTTACTCTGAACTGACCTTTGTATCTAGCTATAAACTACACTTATGTCAAAGCTTTACTGTACTAAATAAAATAATATCTCTCAGCAAAAGGCAGTAGGGTAATCACCACGTGATACTGAAGTCAATAAAAGCCAGTGAAATCAAAGTGAAGCAGAAATAGAAATCCAATTGTGAGGGGTGGGGGGGAGGTGGGGAATAAGAAAAAGCAGGAAAAACCTTGCAAATTTATACTCACTCGAGGACCAAATGGGCCTGGAATGCCAGGACTGCCCTGTTCACCAATAGGACCCTAAACAGAAGAAATTATCATAACATTGTGACATTTAAAGCATATTTCTTTAGTAGTAAAGAATTAATGTGATACACACAATTCGGTATGAATAGCATTATAATATACACGAACAGCAGATAGTACCTTTCCTTATTATGATTCATTTTCATTCTGTTGCTCTCTTCTGTCACAAAGAGAGAGTAACAACTATAACCACATTTTAGATTAATAGAATTTACTGATGCTTGGCTGTATAGAAAGCTGTTTCTGCAGGAAAGCCTTTTGTATTCATTACATTTAAAATCAGACTGGCTTACAAAAGAGTAACTGACAGTTCTGTTATGAAGGGAAAAGATGCTTTGGGTGTTGGGTTTCTTTTCCTGCATGTTGAAAATTCCAGGTCTTGTACAGGATTAGTGAACAAACGTGAAAAAAAAAGTTTTCTGTGGCATTTCCATTCAATTGCCATTCTTGAAAATACTAGTGAGGGATACCATCACAGTCCTCTCAGGTGGGATTTTGCATTTGATTCCTCAACTGTAAAGTGTTCGAACACTGACAAAAGCATTTCACACTCTGATGTTCTTATTTAAAAATATCACCTTTTGTTATCATCTTCTGCTGACAGTCATTGGTCACTGAAGGACTGGCACAAATGGAACCAGCATAGCACAGCACATCTTGCACAGCACAGTTTTAGCTCATCATGTAACAGTATTGCGAAGTGGCATTAAAACCATCAGTAAGTACAGACAGCCAGGCCACTCACAGACACCTTGTGTGAAAAAAGTAACTTGTGTTTGCTTTTTATTCCATTGTAAACAGCTGTGTTCCTGATACATTATTTAACTATCAAGAAAATAAAATTATAGTAAAACCAAACCAACTCACAGGAGGACCAGGAAGACCTTGAAGCCCAGTGAAACCTCTGTGTCCTTTCTGGCCCCTATCACCTCGATCTCCATTGTCACCTTTGTCACCACGAGGCCCTTGGGGACCCTGTAAATATCAGTGATGAAATGTAAAAATCTGAACTGGAAAACAAAACCAAACCAAAAGAGCCTCAAAAACCCTACATTTACTTTTAGGCACTACATTTAGACCTCCTTCACTCCTAAAGCTAGAAAGAAGGTGTTGCTGGGGCAGCTCCAAGACTCTCAATTTTCTACCAAAGAGTAAGTAAATAATTACAGAAAACTGAGTTGTGCTTCATTAGAATTGTGGTAAATTTAGTCTGTTTAGCTTCATAATACAGTCCAAAAATGCCAGTAATAATGATACTAAATAATTAACATAAAAAATTTTAAGATTGAGAAATTTCTTTGCCTTATTGGATATGGCAAATGATTTTCACAGACGAGATTGAAATGCTGTGGATCGCTCACAGACTCATAATGATAAAATGTGTTTTCAGTATGAAATCCTCCATATTGCATCTTTACTTCTCGCAGCTCCTTTCACCTTCACTGTGAAGAAAGTACAACTGAAGTTACATTCTCTAACTACAGGCAACAACATTCGAGCTCCAAAGTACAAATAGCTTGTTTCTATTACTGTCGTAATTTCATTCTTGGTAGTTTTGATAGTTTCAAACTTTTCATACTAACTCAAGAATGATTGGGAAAAATGGTTTCTGCTTTCAATTCCATATTCCTCAGACCAAATTGCATGTTGAATTTCCCAGTGCTAGATTCCAAATAGTTTATCAATAGGATCATTATCACTACCTACTCAATAAATTTACCTGTCTCTCATATGACATCGGCTTAGGGACAGGACAACATTCTTTTGAATTTCCCAAGTTTACAGTTATTTTTTTGTTCCAAGATTGGACTGTGGTAGAGTTATGGAACACAAAAAGATGGGTTCTGTTTGTTTGTTTTTCCATTTGGACTGAAGTCAGGATCTCATGAGTTGAATTAAGGCAGTTTCAAGGGAACAGGTGATTTTGTTATATTTCTGCCATTTCTATCTAAAAATCTGCCTTTTTGTTCAGCATTTATTTCTATACTCCTTATTTGAATTGTCAAACAGAGACTCCAACCATTTGCTAACTCAGGTCCTGCTATCATCTGGACAGCATCACACTCCAAATAAAGAGGCTTCCAAAGCATTTTTTATTTCTCTGCAAAGTATTTTTAAAGAAAGTGTAGAAAAACTAGTGTATTCAGACAGATTTGTACAGCTTTGCAGCTCAGAAATCTACCTGCATCCACTTGCAGGCAGAAGACTAAAAGTTGAAGCCCTGTTCAGAATTGTAATTTGGACTCAGTTTCTCATATACTTTCCTGTAAAAAGTATCTCAGATAAAACCACAGTGACCATGGAGAACTTACAGGCAAACCTCTTTTTCCTGCACGACCTGGGGGACCCATTGGACCTCGAGAACCCTACAAAGATTGCATACAGAAGATACGTGAAACGACGCACAAAAGTATACATCATATTTTTTTTATAAACAAAATATTAAGGAAAAAAAGAAGTCTCACTCACAGTTTCACCTCTTTGACCTGCATCTCCTGGAGGGCCAACAGGACCTGGAGTTCCTGGACCCCCTTGGGAACCTGGTAAGCCTGCAGGGCCAGGTTCACCACGATCACCCTGCAAAACACAATTTCAAATCTTATTTTTCTAGACTAGACCAGAGCAACAGGACTCTAGTATTGCTAATCTATTTTCTAGCAGCTACAACCCACAAAGATATTCCTTCTGTAAGAACTCAAGTCTGAGTTTGAGGAGACAGGTGTTCTTAGCCTTTTAGCCACATTTCCTCCATTTTGAGAGGTCTTACTTGTGCAGAGCTGTGATACACTTTCAGAACAAGTTCTCCATCCAAGTTAACTGAAGATAAAATCTACAGTAAGTCCATAATAAAACAGGTTTCCAGAGGTGACTTAAGAAAACAATGTATTCTTACACGTTCTCCAACAGCTCCATCTCGTCCAGGAGTACCGTCATTACCAGCAGGTCCCTAGAATTATGGAATAAAAATAAGGCTACTGAATAGCTCTGTAATCTTGCATTCCTATGAGAACTAGAAACTTGTTCTTCACGTCTAACTCCAAGTTAAGAAAAACAACCACTAGACTGTCTTTTTCTGCAAGTTACAAGGCTCTATACTTACTTCTGGACCAGCTTCACCTACAGGTCCCGTGGCACCTGACTGCCCAATAGGTCCTGGGGGACCTTTATCACCAGGTGGCCCCGTAGGACCTTGTTTTCCTGGTGTACCCTATAAAAAGATGAGAAATATCATATCAAAATTTTAATCACAAAACAGAGAAAACACAAAAAAACTGCTGCCTGCTAAACACTACTCATTAATCCAGACTGAAGTACCATGAACATTTGTAACTTCCAAAACTTGATAATTAAAGGAAGGAATTAAAGGATAGATTTTGAATATATATTTAATATATATATTCAATATATTTAATATACTGTTTATTTTTAAGCAGCTTAATTGTGTTAGTGGCTTTTGAACAGGCTTTTATTGCCTAGAAACTGTACTTGAAGCTAGTCTATCTAGTAGCAACTCTCTAAGCACACACCTCCTTGATGTATCAATGTTTGATGCCACTATCTGCAATAGCTAAAGTTTTTGTGACTCTGGAGAAATGTAGTGCAGTTGAAATAAATAACATGATTTTTTTTCCTGTCTCTCTCAACACCAACAAATCTTGTTAGCCTGGAATAATTTCTGGCCAAATTTAACTATAAATTGATTTTATGAATCCAGTGGTAATGGCAGATACTCCATACTATTCCTTTAATTAATGCTCTGCTTAATGATTTGGTCTCCTGGATCATTAGGCTTTCCAATAATTATCTATAAATCCTACATGAAAGCAAAGAGAGCATAAATGGCAATTTTGAACACTGTAGTTCATGATTTATGACACAACAGAGTATTTACACACATTCAAGTGACATTTGGGCACCTAAATGAAGAGGCTAGGGTTGTTGTTTTCAAAGATCTAGTTTTAAGACAAATAGGAACATTTTAGCCAGACCTTTTAATGCTATTACCCGCTTACTCTTAATTCAGGTTCAGATCTTCCATTACAGCAGAAACAAAATCTCCCACCTCACGCCTTTGCATGAGTTTCAGTTATTTTCTGTTAGTATTTTGCTGTTAAACATCTCTCTATATTTGCTCCTGCAATTGGAGATTTCCAACTTTATCCTTGTGCACTATGCTCTTAGTCTCACAGAGACAATGAAATTGCTCAAGGCTGGTTGTATATTGACTTGTTACTTACTGCAGGACCTGGCAGCCCCGGCATGCCTCTTTCCCCTCGCTGTCCTGGCATACCAACAATACCTCTTTGACCAGTAGTTCCTGCTGGACCAGGGGGGCCATCTGGGCCCTGAAATCCATGAAGGATAAAACAGCATTACTATCATTTCAGTAGCAATAAATATAAGTCACAATGAGACCAAGCCTAGAGTTGGTCTAGGGATAATCAACATCAACCAGGACGCACCGGCTGCCCATCTTCCCCTGCATCACCCTTGTCTCCAGGACCACCAGGAGGCCCAGCTGGCCCTCGATCTCCCACACGGCCATGAGAACCGGGATCACCACGAAGACCTGGGGGACCTTCTTTTCCTGGCTCACCAATAGGCCCAGCAGGCCCTGGAGCTCCCTAAGAAGATTAAAACACCTCATTACATTAGACCCTTTTCTGATTAGGACAATTAAATTCTAATGAATGTGTTGTGATTAACTATAAATATGCATAATTTAAGGAAGGCTCAAAGTCTGAATGAGCTAAGAGTTATTATCATCTAATTTATGATCAAATAAATGAGATAAAATAAACAACTCATCAAATTATATCCAAGCTCCATTTCCTCCTCTTCCCCTCCCCAACGTCAAGATTGCAATTCCAAACTCCTGTCTTTAAAAAGACACTCTTTATTTGTCTCTCTTTTTTTGTTTTCTTTTTTTTTTCTACCTAGGGTGTACCACTACTGCTAGAAAACTCACCTTTGCCCATTCTTTCCAATATCACCAAGTCCATATTCAAACTTTTCATTCAGGTGGTGCAAATTAGCGTTTTAATGAACCTTCGTTCATTTCTCAAATACTTCAAAATTACTTCACATTTATATTATGTTTTCCTTATATAAACTTCACCTTTTGATAAACTCACAACGACTGCGAGTTATTTGTCTCATCAAACCATTAAAAGGTATATGAAGAGAGGGTCACAGTTCTCTGTGTGGAGTTGACACCTCACTTGTTGATCCACAGCTAATTTTATTGTTTTTTAATTATTTCTGAAAATGTTTAGACATGAGAGATTTTGTGTTAGTGTTTTCTTTTTTTTTTAAAATTTGTTTTAATGGATCTTATGAGTAACTCCACTGATAAGAGAACCCATCAAAGGTCTCTTCCTTTCCCAAAAACTGTCCTAACTTCAGTCACTACTGAAGAGACAAAAAGGTAAAAAGTACAGGAAGATAGAGGTTGTTGTTTTGTTATTGTAAGCAATTAAGTCATTAGAGCAGCTTGAACAGCTCAAGGCCTACTTAACTCAGTGAAGTCTTGCACTAATTTGGATACACAGACACTGGATCAAGCCCAAGACTAATGAGTTTTATTTGATGATGTCAGACGTAAGCATGCAGTAACACAAGTCAGTGCGGACAAGCTGTTCTTTTCTATAGCATCAGGCCATGAACACTGCTTCACCTTTCCTGCTTTATTTAGTCTTCACGTTTTCAACCACCAGTTTAAAAAACACAAATATTACGAATATGAGAATTGACTTACAGTAGGTCCTGGAGGCCCAACTCTTCCAGCAGATCCTGGGAATCCAGTAGCACCCTAAAAAACATTTTAATGCTGACTTTGTTGAAAGAAATACAGCAGTGGTTATCTCAAATGTTCTCAGCCGAATTAGTGAGCAAATGCTATAATTACAGACTGTGAAAAACAAGCTGAGATGAGGAATGAAACACACATTACATAACATTTCAGTATTAGTTAATCTGTAGTCACGTCACCAAAAGTAAAATCTACTTACAGGCGGACCCTGAGTTCCTCTACCACCTTTCAAACCAGGAACACCTGGAGGGCCCTAAGAGGAAAGGAAAAAGAGAAAGGTGATAGTGAAGACCCAGGACATTCTAAACAAGCAAGATAAGCCTGTGCCACTGATATTATTTATACTCACTGGTGGACCAGGAGACCCAGCAAGACCTTGTGGTCCTGGAGATCCAGCATCTCCTTTCTGTCCAGGTTCTCCAGGTTCACCTTTCACACCTGGTTGACCATCAGGGCCCTATAAGAAATAATATTTAGAAGATATACCAGGTCAAAAATTACCAAATCTTTTCAGCCTAACAAAGTAATTTTGTAGAGAATTTCTAGAAGGCAAAAAATAACAGAACAAATCAGCCCAAAAAACAGTGGATTTGCCTAATGGTTCAGTTGAAGAGAACTGTAACAGTTCAGCACAGTGTTTAGAAGATCACAGATGGGATTTTCTATGTGAAGTCAGAATTTCAATTTAAAATATTTTCTTATCTAACTCACATTTTACTTTCGTTTAGATTTCCTATTTTCTTCAGCCAATATTACGTATCTAAAAGCAAAAGGGACTGAACAAACCATGTCTTTTCTAGTCTTTTTTTCCCCGCCAAGGGAAGCAGGTGCCTCGCTGTGAAAGGGATCAGGCACAATATTTAGGCTGTGGGAAAGTTTGAGGTATTCCCTGGAAAACCCACAGACCTTCTGTTTGGTCCATCAACTCATTCCAGCTTTCACTACTCATAGAGCAAATCTTTTCTACCTTCTGTAGATGACACTTTGTAACTTGTCTCGTTTTAATCTCAAAGGAGCAACATAGCATATTCATGAAAATACGAACAGTTGCATAATCTTATCAACAAAGCCACTTTTCACGTGTCTAGGGTATTCATTGGCCCCTTTCTTTACTTGATAGACTGATGGGGAAAAGAAGCAGCAACAAAAATGTTGCTCATGTTCCAGAACACTACAGTGTTATTCATAATGAGAGAAACTAAGTATGTCAAAGTATGACTAAAGGAAACTCATTAGTGTTACGAAACACATACCGGAGGACCAGCAAAACCAACAGCTCCAGTTGGGCCATTTTCTCCTCGGGAACCCTGGTCAAAAAATTTAGAATAACTGTATTTAACATAAAAGTCTTTCTGTATACAGTATAATTTGTAAACGTAGAAGAAAGGATGTTAACTATTTACTGCCATAAGTGCAACTATACTTTTGCTCTATTAATCAGAATCAAATGATCTTTAATCACAAAATAAATGATGTTAACTATGACGTTAAGATGTGCCACATGTTCCTGACTATATGTAAACTTTCAGAATTTAGAGATGGAAGACGTGCAACCACTAAAACCACAATAGGAGAAGTTCTGCTCACAACCACTTCCAGTGATAGCAGGATTACCTGAAGTGCACGCACTTTATGCAACCCATCATTCCAATCAGAGAGACTGGAGACTGGGAAAAAAAATTATAGCTTGAAGATGTATTCTTCTACAAGGTCAGAATGGGCTACAAGCTGTTTAAGCTGGGCTTTCCACACAAGTTTTGTTTGGAAAAGAAGGAGCTGAAGGCTGCCAAGCTCCAGCACTCCCCAGAGGAATGGAAGCTATTCCAGTTTACTCTGGAAATAAGGCTGTTCTGATTTATGACAGAGACACAATCAATTCCAAGAAGTATGAAGGATCCAGAGGGGCTGAGCCTCTAACTCCCTAATCAAAGTCAATCCTTAAAATCACAAATGGACTGAAGATGACAAGAATTACTGTAATTAGATTAATACTAAGATATACTTCTGTGATTTGTCCATCTAAATATTTGTATGTATGCAGTAGTATCTGATATGGGCATGATTTTAAAAGGTTTAACAACTAAAAGCGGTGGTACACTTTCAGGTGAGGTAAATGAGGGTAAGTCTATGTAAAGACTGCCCTAAAACAAGTACAGGACAGATGAACAAAATCTGCCAATAGTTTACAAGTGTTGTGTGTGCAAGTGCACAGCATCAAGACAGAACTACAGAGTTTGGCTGCAAAGAAAGGGGAAGAAAAAGAGGAAAATATATCAGCAAATGAGATGAAACATGGAGTTTGGATCAGTGTTAGTTATTGTTAACTTATGCCAGACAAAACCAAACATGTTTACTCACAGGGTTTCCACGGGAGCCAGGAGGACCAACTAGACCTCGAGGACCTGGTTCACCCTTAAAATAAAATTAAAGGTTATTTTCCAAGTAACTTATTAGACAAGGACCAAAAGTGCCAATAAAGTAAGGTAATATTAAGAAACTTCAGCAGGGAATGGCATAAAAATCTGTTTACCTTTTCACCAGTGGGACCTGCTGGACCCATTGGGCCTATTGGACCAGGGAGACCCTATTGAATAAATTAGAATAAAATGAAGTTTAAAAATGTGATACTTCAAAAATGTTATCTTAAAACTTCTCATATGTTAAAATTTCCATGTGATTTTTCATTCCTTTAAATTCTTCGCCTTTATCTCTGAAATATTGTTGGGTCTTTTTTACCTAAAATTTACTAGCATTTTCTCTCCCAGTGACCAAAATCCCACATCTCAAAAGCCCTGCTTTCATTCATTCTGTCTTTCTTCACTAACTTCACTAATTTCTGGGGAGACCTTATTGCAGTCTTCCAGTTCCTGAAGGGGTCCTACAGGAAAGCTGAGAAGGGACATTTTACAAGTGCAGGTAGCGATAGAACAAGGAGGAATGGCTTTAAACCAGAAGAGGGTAGATTTAAACTAGATATTAGGAAGAAATTGTTTACTGTGAGAGTGGTGAGATGCTTACAAAGAAATTCCCGCGCACAGCAACTAATTGTGAGTGTGTGCTTCTGTATGCTAGGGTTTCTCAAAAAACCTTCTCTTCTTTAACTAGAAATTTAGTCCAGTCAGAATCATAGAATGGTTTTGGTTGGAAAAGACCTTTAAGATCATCATGTCCAACCACTGATCGAGCCCTACGAAGTCCGCCACTAGGCCACGTCCCAAGGACAATATTTCCCTGTCTTTTAAACACCTCCAGGGATGGTGACTCAACCACCTTCCTGGGCAGTCTGTTCCAGTGCTTGACAACCCTTACAGTAAGGAAATTCCTCCTAATATCCAAACTAAACCTCCCCTGTCACAACTTGAGGTCATTACCTCTTGTCCTACCACCAGCTATGAGGGAGAAGGGATCGATCCCCACCTTGCTACAACCGCTTTTCATGTAGTTGTAGAGGGCAATAAGATCTCCC